GAGAGAGAGAGACCCCGAATCCCGATGCGGGCCGGGACCTGGGCGCGGCCGCACCCCCCACCCTTCCCAGCTCGGGGGCCGGGCCGCGGGAACGCCCTCCCAGAACGAAGCGCTTCCCGGTGCCTTCAAGGTAGCTCGGTTCCGGATCGGGGACCCCCCTCCCCCAGTTCTCCCTCCTAGGGCCCCGCTACCCAGAATCTAAGAGATCCCTAATCTCCCTGGGTCGGGAGGGAGATAGCCCCAATGCACCCAGTGCCCCCCAAACCCCTCACGGTTCCAACTAGTGAGAATCTCTCCATTCCCCCAGCCCGAGCGCCAAGCCGCCCTCCGAGCCCTGAATTGCCTCCAAACTTAATTTAAGGTTCTCCATCATTGGCCCTCAGTCCGCTCCCAGTGTCCCATATACCCCATATCCAATTTGGGGAACCCTCTCTCAGAGACTCACGTCCCGAATGGGGAGCCTCCGTCAGCACCCCGGTAGAAACTGTACCCGTTTCCCCAATCCCTCCTCAGCCCTTGCTATCCCTAGTGAGAATCCCCTTCAGCTCCCCTAAATCCCTTCCGTCCACAGAAAACCCTTGCCCCAAGCCCGTGTTCCCAATTTGCCACCGCCCCCATCCCCACTATGAGGAGGCTCCACCGTTTCTCTTCCTCCCTGGCTCTTGTCAGCCCCACTCAGACCGTGTCTGGACTCGCGAAAGCCGGTTCCAGCCGCTCACCGCCCCCTCCCCACCTACGCTGGGGGAGAGGTCAGAGTCTCTTAGAGACTCCCGTGTTCAGTTTAGGAGCCCGGTGCCTCAGCTGTGCACCTTCCCCTCCGAATGACTCCCTTCTTTCGCAGAGTTCTAAACCCTACCCCATCAATTGGAAGAACCTAAACTGCCTACCCACTGCGTTTGGAGTTGCTTCTCTCAGCCCATCTCGATTTGAGACGACTTCCCACGAAGGCAAACGTCTTTGATTGTCCTTCCTTCTCCCATGCTCCCAATTTCTGGGACACTGAGGTTCCCCGAAACGTCCACTCAAGGCTCCTGGGGGCCATCTCACCCACCAGGAAAACTCCCTCCCTCCAGCCTGGGAACCCTGAGAAAGTGCATGCTGGATTACCTCCAGAGCCAGCGGTGGTGGCCTCTCACCCCCATCCGACCATATCCATATCCTCTCCTTAATTCCCCAGCCCAGCAAGGGTCAAATCAGGAGGCTGAGGCAGCTACTCATCCCCTCCTCCAATTTCCCATCGCTGCTGGGGGTCTCAGTGCCACACAAGCCCAGTTCCTCCCAACTCACCTAAAAAAACTTTCCCCCCCATTACCTTAAATCTACCCCATGAAACCCAGTGATAACCCTTGATGACAAGCCTCTTGCTGCTCGCCTTGACATCTATCCTCCAGTCAGCCACCTTTTATTAATGTGTGCGGCAGCTTTGAGCATCATAACCCTGACATCTGGAAGGGTGCCCATCCCCCTCTTCTTAGTACATCTTCCCTCCTCCCACCCCAACCACCACACATGTAAGAACGTGAGAGACTCAAGTTAATGGTTTCCTCGGGGACCTTCAGGGAACACTCAGCAGGTATATCCTGCCACCCTGTGTGCATAACGAGAGAAAGCAACTTGCTTTTTCCTGTTTTTATCATCCTACTCACCCCACAGTTTCTCAGACTTCCCTGAACTGGGGGTAGGAGGCACCCTTCACAGGGCATTTCTCACCATCTCAATACAAACTGGAACAAAGTGTGTCCTGGAAGGGATGCAGATAAAGGTCAGTAGGTAGCACCTTCAGTGTTAGGGAACTGACTATACCTAGACTTAAACTTCAAGTTCCTTGTGTGCAAAATGGGGCCAATGGGGAGGTGCAGGAAGGGGAGGACCCCATATGTTCATGAGCATTGATTTGTGTGCTGGTGCTGTTGGGCAGGTGGCTTGGAGGGTAGGAAATGGGCAAGGGTCATTCGCTCAGAGCCAGCCAAGCCTGTATAAGTAGTAGATGGAGATGGGCTCCACTGATTAGCATCCTCATTCAGGACCTGTCTACTTGTGACTATGTGGTTTGAGGCACAGTGATGGGTCGGGTGGACTTACAGAAGTTGCCTCCTTCCTGCACGTTCATTTCAGCCTCACTTCTTCAGTCCCCTTTGTTCACACTAGGGACAAGGAGTCCTCCTTGGGGTAGTAGCCCTCATAGGACAATGCAGCTGTAAATGTATGATCCTCATCGTAAATTGAGGATCTCAGCGGTATTAAGGGAAAATGATCTTCGGAGCAACTGGCCTAGACTCCAGAATTAGGCGACTAGAGGATGTAGTTTCAGCTCTTTTTCTCTGGTGCTACACATACTGAGCATCACTTAGAGAACTAAAGAATAATTTGCTTTGTAATTAAAAAAAATCCTTTTGAGAAAGACAAAAGGCAAACGACATTATGCCCAAGCATTAAGATGCAACTTGCACACTCATTCCTTCTACAAATATTTATTGAACACCTGAGATCCAGCACACACTGTCTAGGCACTAGCACCTACCTTTGTGAAGCTTGCTTTCTAGAGACAGGTGTTGGACGTGATAGATAGATAGATAGATAGATAGATAGATAGTAGATAGATAGATAGATGCATAGAAAGAATAGATGATAGATAGATGGATAGAGATAGATTATGATACATAGATGCATAGATGCATAGAATAGATATAGATAGATAGATAGATAGATAGATAGATAGATAGATAGATAGATAGGATAACATAGATATGTCAGATATTGGTAATGCTGTGGAGAAGAAAGAGGGATAGGGAGGGTGGGAGGCATGGGGAGAGGGTGATATGCAATTTTAAATGAGGAAAGTTCTCATAGGGGAGGAGTGATATTTTAGCAAAGATTTGAAAGAAACAGATACATTAATCTGTGTTATCTAGAACTCTCACTTAAGCATCTCTTGAGTGCAATGATCATTGATATTCTCAATTTGATGTTCAGTGCTCTAAAACAATGGTTCCCAAACCTTAATGTGCTTAAATAATCACCCAGTGATTTTCGGTAGACCCAAGGTGGATGGGAGCTCTGAAAACTGTGTTTTTTAAAACAAGCACCTCTATCAGATGATGCTGTTAGATATTTTTCTTGGACCATTCTTAAAGAAACGTCATTCTAAAATATACTAAAGAGTCTTCTAGAATGACAACAACAAAATTAAAGGTTAAATTACAGTCTCTGTGGTTTTAGTGTTGAGAGTATTCACTGTGTCCTCATTCTTTGAAATGCAATGCCCAAACAAAACCCTTGATTGCCCAGGCCAGTTCTTGTCCGTGCAGGAGAAGGGAAAATTGATCATAAGCTAATTAGAAACCAAACTTATTTATAATAAGTCTCCCCTTTTATGCTTTAGTTTTTTTTGTTTTTGTTTTTTTTTTTTTCCTCTACTTCCCTCTGGTTCCGAATTTCTGTACTCAACCAGTAGGTGAATGCCTGGAGGTAATGAGAGCACTTGACCGAGAGTCAAGAACCAGAGGTGGGTCCTGGAACCACCACTGTTTCTAGTTAAGTGAATCTAGGGATATGCCGCTCAGCCTTCTAAGCTTCCATTTACTCTCAAGAGTTGCTGCAAGACTTGAGTGAGATCATGTGTATGAAAGCGCCTTAAAAATCTCTAAAGCATTATGGAAAGAGAAAGAAGCTCTGTGACTGTGCATTCGCAGATCCAGTTAATCTGGTCCAATTAAAATTCAGTTGCCTTCAAGATAGTGTGGTACTGGTATAAAGATATACATATAGAACAATAGAATAGAATAGTGCCTCTACCTCATACCACATACAAAAAACAATTCAAAATGGATTAAAGACCTATATGAATG